GGTCCCCTGCCAAGAGGCAAGCAATAAACTGGTTTCTTGTTTACTTTTCTTTTTTTTTTTTGTCTTTTTCCGTGTCCGGCAATGGATCGCAACCCTCAGTGTTGCCCCCGTACCGGACCGGGGACCGGCAACAGGATTGCAACCCTCAGTGTTGCTCCCGCGCCTCGCTCAGCCAGTGAGCAGGAACCAGTCTGCATGTGGGATCCGAACCCTCGGGCGGGAGCGCCGCCGCGCTTCCCAAGCGGCGCACTATCCAGTGCGCCACCGGGCCGGCCCTCTTGTTTACTTTTCAATAGGTAATGATGCATATAAAAGCCAATATGAACATATCCTCCTTCACTCCCCCCATGTTTGATCACAAGTGAGCGTGCGATATGTGTTGTTCTGCACCTTGCTTTTTCTTTAACCACGTACCTTAGAGATCTTCCCAAATCAACACATGGAGAGCTTCCTCAACACTTGGTTTTGTGGCTATGTCCCAGTGTATGAAGGAACCTTAATTTATTTAACCAGCCTCTGGTTGTTAGATAGTAAGGGTGCTTCCAGTCTTTCAGTACCATACACAATGCCGCAATAAATAGCCTTGGTCAGAGTAATGTCACGTGTGAGTATGTCTGTGGGACAATCCCTAGAAGCAGAATGGCTGGGTCAAAGGATAAGGTGCATACGTAACTTTGATAGCAATTTCTAGATTGTTCTCTAAAGGAATTGCATCAATTTACACTCCTTCCAGCAATGTCTGAGGGTGCCAGTTCCCCATACCTTCACCAGTCTGGCAGGTGAAAACATTCATTTCCATGTAGTTTCATTCGCACCATTCCCATGAAAGTGTTTGAGTAGCTTTTTACCTTTAAGGAGCATTTGTGTGATTGTTTTTTTTAATGTGAATTCTTTTTATGCTCTGCTCAATTTTCTTTCTTGTTCTCGGTCTTTTTCTAATCAATGTATAGGAGCTCTTTTATATTAGGGGAATGAGTCCTTTGTTATAAGAGCTGCAGATAATTTCTCCAGCTGGTTGTCTTTTGACCTTGCCTTTGAGCTATTGCTCAGTGGAATTGTTTATTTTTCTGTAGTCAAATATATCGGTCTTTGCTTTTTTATTTTTTTTAATTTATTTTTATTGTGGTAAAAAATATACAACATAAGGATTGCCATTTTAAGCATTTTTAAACATACAATTGCATGGAATTAATTACATCCACAATGCTGCGTGATCACCACCTCTATTTCCAAAACTTTTTTGTCATCCTAAACAGAAACTCTATACCTATTAAGCAATAACTTCTCATTATTCCTTCCCCCCAGTTTCTGAAAACCACTAATCTACTTGTCTCTGAATTTTTTTTAACTTATTTTTCCTTAACTGACCCATGACAATGTATGTAAAGAGTTCAGTGTTATATTTGGGTACATTTATACAGTGTGCAATGATCATATCAGGGTATTTAGCATATCCATCACCTCAAACATTTGTCACCTCTTTGTGTTGGGAACATTCAACATCCTCTCGACTAGCTACTTGAAGTTATACAGTACTTTGTTGTTGACTGTAGTCTCCTTATATTTCCATAGATCACTAAATTGTATTCCTCCTGTCTCTCTACTATTTGTGTCCACTGACCACCCTCTCTCCATCCACCCTACTCCCTCCCCTTACCAATCTCTAGTAACCACTATTCTACTCTTGTAAGATCAACTTTTTCAGTTTCCACATATGAGTGAGAACATGTGGTATTTCTCTCTGTGTGCCTGGCTTATTTCACTTAACATTATTTTCTCCAAGCTCATCCATGTTGCTGCAATTGGCAGAATTTCATTCTTTTTCATGGCTGAGTAGTATTCCATTGTGTATATATACATTTTCTTTATCCAATCATCCACTGATGAACATTTAGGTTGGTTGCATATCTTGGCTATTGTGAGTAGAACCGCGATAAACATGGGAGTGTAAGTGTCCCTTCAACGTGATGATTTCCTTTGGATGATTTTCCTTTGGATATATACTCAGGAATGGGTTTGCTGGATCCTATGGTAGCTCTATCTGTAGTTTGAGAAACCTCCGTACTGTTTTCCATAATGGCTGCACTAATTTACAATCCCGCCAACAATGTATGAGTTCCCCTTTCTCTGCATCCTTGCCAGCATTTGTTACTTTCTGTCTTATTGATAATAGCCAATCTAATTGGGGTGAGATGATATTTCACTGCAGTTTTGATGTGCATTTCTCTGATGATTAGTGATGTTGACCATTTTTTATATACCTGTTGATGGACATTTGTACGTCTTCTTTCGAGAAATGTCTATTCGGTTTTCAGTTCCTTTGCCTATTTTTTAATCAGATTTTTTTTTTACTATTGAGTTGTTTGAGTTCTTTTGCTTTTTTTTTTTTTTAATATGGAACGCTTCACAAATTTGCATGTCATCCTTGTGCAAGGGCCATGCTAATCTTCTCTATATCGTTCCAATTTTAGTATACGTCCTGCCGAAGTGAGCACAGTCTTTGCTTTCATGGCTCCTAGCTTTGGTGTCTTGCTCAGAAAGGAGATCTGCTCCCACCCCACCCCCACACACCTTTTTTTCTCAGTACAAACTTGGAATGACTCGCAGTGTTCTGTAAAGAACAGGACAACTCCTGCTCTCCAAGAAATCCTAATTTTAGAGGGACACAAAGTAAACTGGCAATTACCATTCTGCGTTATAATAAATAGCAGGGAGCACAACGGGAACCCGGGCAAGGACTACCTAATCCCACTGAGTTGGCAGTGACAGCTTTGCAAAGGACGTGGCACCCACGTACATCCAGAGGCATGTGCAGGAGTCGGCCAGGTGAGGAAAGGCTTTCCAGTAAAAGCAGCAGCTTGTGCGAGGGCAAGAAGCAAGAAACAACATGGTTTGTTCAAGTTGTCCAGTCTGGCAAAAGGACAGGAAGCCCTGCAGGGCTGGCATGTGGTAAAGGGCAGGGCTAGAAGGGCAGGCAGGGGCCAGAGCACGGAGGGCCAAGTGTATACTGCCCGGGAGTCAGGGCCTTTCCCTGAGGGAGTCTGGAGACAGCAGAGGGGCCTGATTAGCCATGTGGAGGAAGAGCTGGAGACAGCCCCATATGGAGACTGGACCCTGGCGTGGAGACTTCTGCCTCCCATCCAGGAGAAGCCATAGCAGCCTTGAAAGGCTCCAGGCTGCCAAGCTACAGTACAAATCTCAGACCCAAATGCTCTATTCTGTCAAACACAGAATTCTATAAAAACCATCAGGGAAGCTAAGCATCTTCTCTGAGAAACACTTCTACCCAAGATGACAACAACTTTAAGAGCTTGGACCCTTAGTGGGAAAAGCTGTGGTTGTCACTTCCACCTTGGCACCTCTGGCAGATGGGACCAGGTAATCGCAACTGCCTGCTCCTCTTAGCTCTGGTCTGGCTCAGGGAAGCACTGGGCTCTTCAGCCCCAGCCCATGCCCACTCAACCAGACCCCATGCAAAATGGGCGGCAGGGATGCAGGATTGCCATGAGTGGGAGATGGAATGGAGAACCCCCAGGGATGGGCCTCCAACCGCCCGTGCCCATAGGAATATCTCTTCCCTTCTAGCCAACAAGGCGCAGTCCTGCTGAGTAGCCACAGCTGTTTTCAGAAGCATTGGAAAGGGGTCTGCGGACTTCTCTGCTCCCATGGCCTTTCAAAACAAGCATTTTGTAGCTGGTCTCCCTGGGCAACCGTTTTCCCTGAAGTGGTGCCCAGCACAGAGCTTTGCATATAAGCACTCAGGAAATGGTAGCAGTTCCTGTTAAAACTGGAAAGACTCACCAATTGTGCAAGTTAGCAAGTTGCAGAGAGAAAGGAAAGGTGATGTGGACAGGAGGATAGGCACTGGAAACCATCTAAATGTAGCTTTGGGATTATCTCTAGATTTGTTATCCAGGCTCTCCCCATGCCTCCACCCCCAAACCAGCCACAGAGGTTGGTTCTTGATGCTACCATTTTAGTTATATTTTCTTTAGTACCCTAAGGCAATTTTATCCCAAAGGGTCATTTGATGAAGTCACAAGCTAGAGTTGAAGGCTCTTGGAGGCTGCTGAAGGCCTTGGTCCTGGCCAGTGGGTTTCCAGTGGCCCCTCAAGGCACACCTACACTCAGTGCTCTCAGGACATGCATGAGGTGCCCTCATACCTGGCCTGGAAGCCAGGAGGGCAAGAAGCCAGCCCCAAACTCAACTCCAATAAAAGGCCCTCCCTCCCCAAACAGCAGTTAGGTCAAGAGCAAGGCCAGAGTGTGTGGTCCCTCGGGAGCCTTCTTCACCGTTCATGTGTCCTGCAGGGGAGAGGGGGCAGGCCCAGATACCCAAGACTCCATCTCAGGGGCAGCAAAGCTGAAAGAATGAGGATATCAGAGGAAACCAGGAAGAAAGGAAGGGGCCTGGGGCCCAGGGCAGGTTCCAACTTTGCTGGGACTCCATCTCAGGGGCAGCAAAGCTGAAAGAATGAGGACATCAGAGGAAACCAGGAAGAAAGGAAGGGGCCTGGGGCCCAGGGCAGGTTCCAACTTTGCTGGCTGCTTACCTATCACTTGCATGAAGGACCACATCAGCTTAGGGCCCAGGATTTCATTTTTTCCAAAATGAGACAGGCTACTTCAGTAAATGTCAGGAAAGCTCCCTGGCATTATGCATATCTAGCTTCAACTTCCATTTATTTGACATTCGGTATGGTCCAGGCACTTGGTAGGGTGCGTACTTTGCATACATTATCTCATCTAATCCTCTCAGCAACTCCATGAGGGTTGGATGGTAAGACGAGGAAGGTGATAGTCAAGAAGGCTAAGTCCCGAGCCAAGATCCCACCACTAGTAAGTGGCACTACTGGGATGTGAACTAGGGGCTGTCTGGCTTCAGAGCTCTTTGTCCTTAACCGCCATGCTATGCAGGTCAACCCTTCTCCAGCCTCACCCAGCAACACCCCCTGATCTCTGAGACCACAGACAGGTTGTAAAGGAAGGATGGAATCTCCTAAATGGTCATTTTTCTTTATTTCCCAGCACTCCCAATCTCATAGCATGGCCGGCAGGAGTCCTGCCAACTGGCAGACCTCCTGACTCTGGCACCTGGGCACCCCATCGAAGAACTGAAACTCCCAAGGCCTGGCCAGGGATGTGCTGCTGGGGTCTTTCTAAAAGTGGTTCCTGGAAAGATGTAGAATCAAGGTTTGCCAGCCACACAGTCCTCTTCCTGCGAGCACAGGGACAAGGCGGCAGCTTGCTCCCTTGGCTTGCCCGGCCCATCCCAGGAAAAGTGGGGAGGGGCTCCAGACAGCAGGCGTCTCCTGGTTGAAAGAAACTGGGACCTGGGCCTTCTGTCCACTTTAACCGGGAACAGGTCAGGCTCCTGTGGAGGCACCAGAGCAGACCCCGGTCAGACCCCTACTCAGGAAATGGAGGAACCTTTACCATATTTTGCCAGCATCCACCTTCTTCACCAGCTTGGCCTGAAAACACGTTGAGTGCAGAGGGACACATGACAGAAAGCCAGTTCAGCTCTGCTGGAAGCCACCACGCTGGAGGAGGACTTCTCTCACTTTGTTCACAATGGTGTCCACTTCAGCCATGGCCCCCAGACCTGGGAGCAAAGTCCTGCCGTGGGCAAGGGCCTGCCAGATGGGCCAACAGTGCCTGCAGCCCTGCAGACCCCCGCCCAGTGCCCTACCCAGAGCCCAAGGCCTGAGAAGGCCAGGACTGACCCTGCCTGGGCCAGATCCATCAAATCTCAAGACACCCCAGGACAGGCCCCAGGAATTGTCGCAGTGATTGTCCTTAACTGTGTGGCCAGTTAACTGTGTCCCCCAGAGACTCCACCAGGCACTTCACACACACTACCTCACTTCATCCTGACAACTCTGAGGGGCAGGAATTATGATCCCCATTTTCCAGATGGGAAAGCTGAGCTCAAAGGGGAATGGTTTTTCCTTAGGTCACCACAGGCCAAGATCTGAACGCAGATGCGACCCTAAAGTTGAGCCCTTCTGATGCCCTGGGCTGTGAGCCCAGCAAGACACCTACCTTGGTCTCCACAAACCAGCTTCTTGGCCACACAGGGGATCTCAATGTAGCCGAAGGCCTGGAGCTGGCCCACCTGCTGTGCAGTGACAGGGTGCTCCCACATGGCAGTGTTCATCGCCGGGCAGAAGAGCAGGGGCTTGCTGAGGTCCCAGGCCCGGATGACACACGTCTGTAAAGAAGGGCCGGGGGCGACGGTGTGCTTCTGCTCTGCCAGCCACCCCTCCTCAGCTTTTCCAAACCACCCCACAGTAGCCCCGACATCTGCAGGGAGCCATCTGACATGGCTATAGGGGAAGGGGCTGTCTCCTCACCCCTCTGCACCTCCCCACAGCTCGAGCACAGGGCTCTACTTCTTTTTTTTTTTTTTTTTTTTTGTCTTTTTTCCGGGACCGCCGCCGCGCTTCCCAAGCGGCGCCCTATCCAGTGCGCCACCGGGCCGGCCCCACAGGGCTCTACTTCTTTTTTTTTTTTTTTGTCTTTTTTCCGGGACCGCCGCCGCGCTTCCCAAGCGGCGCCCTATCCAGTGCGCCACCGGGCCGGCCCCACAGGGCTCTACTTCTTTTTTTTTTTTTTTGTCTTTTTTCCGGGAGCGCCGCCGCGCTTCCCAAGCGGCGCACTATCCAGTGCGCCACCGGGCCGGCCCCACAGGGCTCTACTTCTAGGCCCACTAAAGCCGGATGATGAAAACATCTGACATGTGACACAAAATCTTCTCATATACATAATCTCATGGACCCCTCACTGTGACCCAGTAAAAAAGGTGCTGTCCCATGTCATAGAGGGAGAAGCTGCAGCTCCCTGAGAGTACTAAATAAATGACACCCTGGGCGATCTTCCAGAGCACTGTGTGCAGCCTTACTACCTCCCGAGTGTGGGCCATCCCACCAAGCCACTGACCAGCTAACAGAGTCCTTAGTGCTGTGAGCTTTGAAATCACATAGCCCTGGCTTCAAAACCTGGCTGTGCTATCTATTACTAGCTGTGAGAATTTGGACAAACTGCTTAATGCTGGGGCCTCTTCACTGAGTGGCTGTGAGGACTGAGGGTGGGAATGTTTATAAAGCTCCTGGCACAAAGTGCTGGCTCCAGAGCAGTGGCTCCTGTTGTTACTAGAGGCACAGGCCCTGTGCGGGGGCTGCCTCGGGCACCTCCTCCTGAGGGAAGGGGCAGGGGGGTAGTCCAGAGAACAATACCACAATGAGACCAGGGCCAGCGCCTGCACCCTAGGTGCCAATGCCCTCTCCTGGGGACGGGGAGGAAGGGGAACAGCAAACAGGCTAGGGATCTGGCTACTTGCGTCATCCCAGACACCAGTGCTGGTTTCCCACCAAGCCCTCTTAATAGGGCAACTGGGCTATGAGTGGACAGTTTCAGTCACACTTCCTCTTGGCCCCGTGCCACTTGCTGCTTCTGCACAAGCCAAGAGCATACCTAGAAGAGTCCCTTGACTGTATGTGGGGTGGGGGTGGGGGCTGGGCTGGGATTTCTACGTGCCCTCAGAGCAAAGCACATCAACAAGAACAGAAACCCAACACCCCCGCCACACACATATATCTGGTTTCCCCCACCTCATCTCAGAGCGCAGTGCTTCCTGGACAAACCACAGCTCCTCCGAACCTACCGGCAGCTGGGGGAAGGGGAGGAGGGCATCAGTTCCCACGGTCACTTCTGTTTGACCAGTGCTGTGTCCAGTACCTCAGGCTCTGCCCCTGGGAATCCGCTTGGGCAGAAGGCTGGATCCTAGTCAGGAGACCAGCTCCCAGCCAAAATGGTGACCCAGGGAAGTCACCTTCTCTTTCTGGATCTGATTGCCTGTTTAGCATAAATAAGGGGCCAGGGCCTGAGTGGGCGAGAGGGCAGATCAAGATACACATTCCCAGGCTGACGGCCTGGAAGCTGGGAGCACAGGTTCACATCTAGCACACTGCTCTCCCGATACCACAAGTGCTGGGCACTGGAGAGGGAGAAGTTCTGCAGAGTGGGGAGCAGGCAGAACTTCCTTTTAGGGATATAAGGAGAAAACATCTATTCAGGGAACACACAGCCACACAACAAGCATGCTGACAGTACAGACTCTGTTAAGGTTTGAGATTCCTTGACACATGTGTGCCTTCACGTGAAAGCCTTTGAGACAAATGGCCTGGGGCTGGTCCTGACAACATGTTCCACTGTCCAGCCAGCTCTGGAGGAGAAAACCCTAAAGATTTCAGGGAGTGGTGGCAAAAGGAAGCAGCACTTTCGGGAGGAAGGAAGGAGCCGTCAGAGAGCTGGCCCGGGCCAGACTGAACGCCCCGAGCATGCGTTGTCACATCAGCCGCTGCTGACCAGCAGTGGGAAGGCTGGAGATTTGGTGAGATGGTGCTGGTCACACACAACGCTGGCCCACTTCCACAGAAGTGGTCAGGAGCCCTGTCAGCCTGGCACAGCCCCACAGGAAGCCTTCTTGATAACACTGCTCCAGGCTCCCCCTCTCTGCACTGTCCACCCCTGCTCCTGGCCTCTCCATCTGCACATTGTTCTGCTCGTCCTGTGCTCCCATTCAAACGATGCTTAAATCACTAGCAGATTCTTCGAGGAGCCTTAAGAGCCCACAGACAAGCATGCAAGACACTAACCTCAGACCTGATCCCCAAAATCCTGACCCAGCTTCATTATTCATCTTCTTCACTATATTAAACTCTGAAAAACTCCTGGCTGTTTGTGATCGTAAATTACTAGTTACCTCCCACACGCAATAAGTATTTATTGAATGCAACTACATGCCCAGCACTAAGCCAGGCAGTAACTCCATTGTCAAAGGAGTGACTGGGGCTATTCAAGATGTACCACTCACCAGATAGTCCTTTCCCACCTGCATGAGTGATCAAAAACCCTCTCCTTCCAGACTGTGAGCTCCCTGTGTCCTGTGAGGTCCTCAACACAGGCTCCCCCAAGTACACATTAGATGAAAGCTCAATAAATTGGGGGGGGGGCGGAGTAATGAGGGAGAGGGAGGGAGGAGCTGCATCATACAAACAAAAGCAGCTCTTCTTTAAGGGTACAGCTCCCTAGAGATCTCTTAGGTCTAAGACAGTCCCTACCGTGTACAGCTGGGCTTCTGTTTCTTTTTTTTTGAACAGCTGGCCAGTATGGGGAACCAAACCCTTGACGCTGGTGTTGCAAGGCCGCATACTAACCAACTGAGCTAACTGGCCAGCCCTGGGCTTCTGTTTCTCTCCTACGCCATCTATGAGCTCTCACCTCTCACCTTGTCCTCCTCCTCTCTTTCCCTCTAGGCATTCCCCAATAAACAGGAAAACTGCATCTCGGCCTTGTGGCTATAGCTACAAGAGAGGTAAGTGTGCATGAAGGATCCACGAGGAAGCAAACACCCTTATCAGATTGCCCACGTGGAAGCCCAGACCCTGGAGAGAAGGCAGCGCTAAACAGGGAGGGGCGGGGGCCAGCGGGAGACCACTGGAAAGGAAGGCCAAGGGCAGCCCACGATGAAGGATGGAGGGCAAGGAGCAAAGGTCTGAGGGTGGGTAGGTGGCTGAGCGTCGAGCGGCCGATGAGAGAAGCACCAGCATGTCAAGTTGATGCATCAGGACCAGGTCTCCTGCCCACTTGCTGGAGAGTGAGGTAGACAAGGTGGGGGGACAAAGGGAACCATATTCTCCCTGAGCAAACCTGGGCCCTGCAGTAATAGGTTTCCTTGTACGAGGAAGTCTGCAGCTTGGCAAACTGAGAGTGAGGCCTAGGGAGGGCTGAGGGCACCAGGGAGTCACTCACAAGCAAGTTGTCACAGATGCCACTGGCTACCTTCCCCAGAGTGTTGGCATCAAGAGGAGCCACTAGCAGGAGGTCTGCCCACCTCCGCAGGTCAATGTGGAGAACTGGGTCGGAGCGGTGCTTCCACATCTGTCAGGGGAAGGAAACTGGGTCACCAAGCTGGTCACTTCTCAGTGTGGAAGAAGGAGGGGGAGGGCCAAAGCAGGCCAGGTACACTAAGACAGGAACCCGAGGGAGACCACCTGACCTCCCCTGCCCAAGTCCACGCCATTCCCTCTCACAGCTAAGCTGGCAAGCATCGGCCAGGGAGCCAGCAGCCTGAGAGAAACCAGGCCTGAGGAAACAACCGCCCCTTGTCTCTCTGAGCTATTCCCTTTATGGTTTGGTTTTCAAGAGAACTGACATCTGGCAGGGAACTGCTGGCCTGCGTGGTTGAGGCGGATGCTCGGGTTGTCTAAGCCAGTGGAAGGGCTCTGAGAAATGGAGGGGGTGGGGTGGGGAAGACAGGCCAGCCAGAAATGTTCTAGGCTGACAGTGTTTAAAAGTGCCTGGCAGGGACTCCTGTGAGGCCCACACTCAGCATCTGTGCCACCCTCTGCAGGACAGCAGACACCGAGCCGGCAGCCGTGGGAAGTGAGGTGCTCTCAACAGTGACAGCCCTGATGCTGGGAGCCACGTGGACAAGGGTGATGGGAACAGAGCTCCACTGTGGTTTCATCAGCCCAGATAAGTACAAGGACACTCAACCTCAGGCTTTGGGCCAAAGCTGAGCTCTGCCTGGGGTGGGAGGAGACTGCGGGCCTCCTGCAGGCCAGAAGCTGGACAGATGTTTTCCTCATTGCTTCTGCCCAGAGAGCCCTGACCACTGCCTTGAGCCCAGCCTGTCTGCCCCAGCCGCCAGGGCTATAGGCCACAGGGAGGACTGTTCCGTCCTGCTGGTGGAAACTCAGCCCAGGGGCCCCCAGCACTGACCTCCCATTCATCAGCATCACTGTAGAGGGTGACAGGAACATCCTGGGGGCTGTAGAAATGTTTGGCTCTCTCAGTTGTGACCACTGCTACTTCCAGCTGTCACCAGAAAAAGTGGAGGGGGTGGAGACGGGAGGGTGAAGCTGTTACTAGAGCCACAGGCCTGGAGGCCACATGAGGGCCAGGGCAGGCAAGTGATTTCCTCACAGCCTGGCTGTAGAGAGGACCTCCCCTCCTGAGCAGCCAGCCCCATGTCTGCATAGCTATTTCCGCTGTCACCTAAAGGTCAGGCCCTCCCAGGTGCGGCCGTTTCACTTCCTGATCTGAGGGGCTGCTAAGGAATGAGTCACCAACTGCCCAGTGTATAAAAAGCTGCAGGCTCCTGCCACTTAGGCAGAGTGAGGTCAAGAGACAGAGGCAGGCGGTGATAGGAAGGGAACTCAAGGCAACAGGGCCGCAGAGGCCAGGGCAGGCAGGAGAGGCAGTGAGGAGGCTCACAGCTCCTGGTTTCTGTGCCATACCGCAGCCCTGCCCTCTGCAGGCCAAGGCACTGGGAGCTGCATCCAGGCCCCAGTGAGAAAGCAAACAGAGTCCTTGCATGTACTTCTAGGGACAAGACCTCGTGGGCTCAGGCTGCATCCAGGCTCCAGGAAAACCAAGCCTGTGTGCCCTGTACTCATGGGGTGAGAATGACGTTTACCTGCACACTACCCATTTACTAATAAATCACTAATGCAAACGAGGGGGGAGGGGCGGTTAACCTGCTTCACAGAACAAATAGCTGTGAGAAACAGCACAAGGCAGTGTGAATGGCACTGGATGAATTGGCCATCATTTGTAGAACAAGATGTTAGACTAACAAGCTGGCAAAGTAAAAGGGCCCAGAGGAAGTGGCTGGGAGGGGAAGGATGCAGGAAACTACATCTTTGGGGGAAACCACTGAGTCAGGAGGGGACATTTATCCAGGAGGGAGAAGAGTCAAGGGTGACAAGGATGGAATCATTGACTAGCCAGAGCAGTGGCCATGGGCGGACATACTGCAGACATGCTGTTTGCCTCATAGGGTTATAAACATTTTTAAGCCAACATATACAAATTGGATGATTTCACATAGAAAATCCAATTTCCTGGCTTCTCGTGAAAAACTAAAAGCTCTGGTGCTGCTGGATCCACATGCCTACTCGATAATGATTTGGGCATTGACTAAGGGCTGCCTTTTTGGATAGGTCATGCCCATGCCAATTAAACTTAGTCCCCACTCCTCCCTATTGTCTCATCCAGGCCCCTCTCATTTGTCTTCTGCCTAATGTGGGACAGGGTGGTAGATGTGTTCTGCACAGCACCTAAGAGCAAAGCAGGGACCAGGGAGTCAAAGTCTCAGAGAGGAAGACTGAGGAAGAACTTCAGAGGTCTAGGCTTCCCAGCTCTACTGACCTGCCAAACTCCAACTCACACCCCGTTAGAATCTATCCTCAGTTAAGGGTTAGGATCCCCTTACCAGCAAGCCACAAAAAAAGAAAAAAAAGAAACTGCCATCCTCAGAACTTGCATAAAACCTCAGAGACGTTTTTCAAGGTCCTTTCAACCAAACCCCCACTGAGTGCTGAAGCACCCTCGAGGACAGCCCTGAACAAGTCCTGTCTCGTTCTGAACAAAATGGCAGATGAGCAGGGCTGCCTTATCCCTCCCCAGAACCCAGCCCAGAAGATGCCACTGGGGCGGAACAGGCGGGGCACGCAGAGGGAGGGGGGACCTTGCCGAGGTTCTGGTCTTCTGCACAGGGAAGACACAAGATAGTGACAAGGAAAAGTATGGGGCATAATAAATTAGGACAACCAGGGCTGGCCCGTGGCTCACTCGGGAGAGTGCGGTGCTGATAACACCAAGGCCCCGGGTTCGGATCCCATGTAGGGATGGCCGGTTGCTTACTGGGTGAGCGTGGTGCTGACAACACCAAGTCAAGGGTTAAGATCCCCTTACCGGTCATCTTTAAAAAATAAATAAATAAAAATAATAAATAAATTAGGACAACCATAGAAGAATGATGTAGAACTATCAAACCAGGAGAAGAAAATCTAAACTGCACAATGAAGGACAGGAAAGAAGAAAAAGAAGCAGAGAGAACTCATAAGTAGAAAGCATTAACTAAAATGGCAGAAGTCCTAATATAATAGTAATTAATATATAACAGGCTAAACACTAACCAAAATTCAGATTCTCATCTTGGATGTTTTTTAGTCCACCAATGTACTACCTAAAAAGGCACATTTAAAATAAAAGTATATATAAAGGTTAAACAAAAGAATAAACTTGGCTGGCCAGTTAGCTCAGTTGGTTACAGCACCACCTATACACCAAGGTCAAGGGTTCAGATGCCTGTTAGCAGCCAGCCACTAAAAAAAAAAAAAGAAGAAACTTTCAATTAAATAAGGTAAATTAAACTCTCCTCTCTTCCAAAAACCCACTAAAATAAAAGTAACTTTAAAAAAGATATAAACTCCCAATAACAAAGAGGAGAAAAACCCAACAGCAGTTAAGACATGTCAACACATTTTTGGAAGATGGAAGTGGAGGGAAGCATTAGCAGACCAGATCAGATGATAAGATTAGATGCAATTAGAAAACTAAACACCAACAACCTACAAAGTAGCTGAGAAACAAGCCGATTACAGAGAAGAAGCTCAGGAAAAATTCAGGAATTGGAGGTAGTGCGTACGAGACAGAGAGCTGAATACAATATAGGAGGCCTGGCTCACAGGCTGCACAGTTAAAAGTCCCCATGTCTCCTCCCCATCCCAGGCAGCCACTCGACCTGGAATTTGAGTCACCAAACTTGGGAACACTGGGCACAACAGAGGTCAAAGAAGGGGTCCTGGAGTAGAAGTGGATCTCTACAGACCAAACAGTTCCGAGCCCCTTCTCTGTACTAGACTCTAAGAAAACTGGGTCTACCAGGTAGGAGACTGGTAGGGTCTTTTCTGGAAAAACCAAATAACCCTGGGAGTAGAGGGGCGTGGTAGGGAAGGAAACCTTCAGATACTAAATTCTGAGGTCCCCTAACAAAACATCTCATCCCCAGCTGAGTACCTGGCAGTTACATCTCTGGCCGGTTTCTAATCAGCTTTCGGTACCCAAATAAGAACAGCCAAGTAGTATCAGATATTTGAGGGAAGCCTGCTACCAGGAAAAAGAGATTAAACAAGCAGACAGAAAATAGAAATTCACCGACAATGCAGGGAGAAGAAAAACTTAAAGATGAAAGATTGCACCCAAGAACAGGAACATAATGCTATTTTTAAAAAATGAATATTCAGGGAACAAAAAAGAACTCTTGGAAATTAAAATTATAAATAGTGAAATAAAAAACTCAATGCATGTTTAGAAGAAAACTTCCAGAAAGTAGAACAAAAAGATAAAGAGATGGACAATAATAGAAAAAAAGATGAGAAAATCAGAAGATCAACCCAGGAGGTTAAAAATATGACTAATAATGAGTTCCAGAAAGAGAGAACAGAAAAATAGGAGGGAGGAAATTACTAAAGAAATTAGGGCCGGCCCGGTGGTGCACTGGATAGTGCGCCGCTTGGGAAGCGCGGTGGCGCTCCCATCCGAGGGTTCGGATCCCACATACAGACAGGCTCCCGCTCACTGGCTGAGCGAGGCGCGGGAGCAACACCGAGGCTTGCGATCCCGTTGCCGGTCCCCGGTCCGGTACGGGGGCAACACTGAGGGTTGCGATCCGTTGCCAGACACGGAAAAAAGACAAAAAAAAAAAAAAAAAAAAAAAAAAAAAAAAAA